ATATCTTGATCGATCATCTGGATATTTGTTTCTATCATCTTGATACCTTGAGTAATCATTGGGATATCTCGATCTATCATCCTGATATCTCAGTCTATCATCTGAATATCTGTCATCTTGATACCTTGACCTTGAATCATCTCGTCGCCTCGGCCTGTCATCTGGGTACCTCATTTGATCATCCTGATACCTTGACCTTGAATCATCTCGACGCCTTGATCTCTCATCTGGGTGTCTTGATCTGTCATACCTATCGTCAGGGTACTGAGGTCTCGATCTATCCTCTGGATATCTAGGTCGATCGTCGTAGTACCTTGAGCTATCATCTGGATGTTGAAAACGTTCGGATCGACTATCTGGATACAGAGGTTTGTCCTCTTGGTATTTTCCTTTGTTATCCACAGCAGAGTTGGTGAGGGATGAAGACCTTGAAACGTTGGTTGATCCTTGTGCATATAGATTTTCATCTGCAATTATATTTCCCCTTGAATCCGGACGAACACCTGCAACATAATAATTGGGATTGCTATATTTATTGTCTACTGGTGGTTCATGCCTCGGCAGAGGTTGTGGATAGTAATCATTGTGTCGAGAAGGTGGCCTGGAAGATGGCCTAGAATGAGGTCGATCATTGGCGTAATAATTAGGTCTTGAGAAAGATTTCTGTTCATCATATGGAAACATCATCTGTCTGGAAGATGGTCTAGACAAAGGTCTATGAGGTTCTGGATATTGCAACGACCTTGATGATGGACGACTACGAACAACATTATCAGAATAATTAGGTCGGTGTGTGTAATCAGGTCGTTGGGCATAATCATCTTGGTTGGATATATGATCAGATGGCTTTGATATTACATCAGGTTGAGTAGACTGAACTGGATTTGACGGAATGTGAGATGTATGCGAAGTCTGTGAGACCAAAGATGCAGTTGAAAGTGGTCCCACCTGAACTGCTTGTTGTGGTCCGTGTTGGAGCGGGGGTTGCTGAAATGAATTTAAATTTGAACTTGTGGTCGGTCTGATATTTGATGTATGAGATGCAGAACTTACCAGTACAAATGCTGATGCGTTGGGTTCAGATGATTGAGGATGGTGCAACTTATCTAGAGATGCTTGTCTATCAAAATTCTGAAAATGTTGCACTGGAAGATTTGAAGTTGGCTGCTGTTCCAGGTGTTGAAATGTGGATTTATCAGTTGTTTTACTATTTTGTGGAACATTATTTTCTTGAATATGAAGTTGACTGCTTGTCAATCCAGCCACAACACTGCTCTGATAAGAAATTGCAGCATCGTTATTAACAAGAGAAGAAAGTGAAGGAACTTGAGTGGCAGAAGTACCACCAAATGTTGTCTGTGGTATTACAAGAGGCATGACTTCCTGTTTACTTTGAGTAGTCCCGGCAGAAATCTGATTGTAGGATGGACCTGTTCCAGTATTTTGGAGGTTTGCAACATCATGTCCTGATAATTTATCATCAAGTATCAAATTGTTTGCTCCTCCCACATTGGCAGCGAGACCATTCTCAGCTAAAGGAGATAATTTGTTTTCAGACTGAGGAAGTAATTTTACAAGTGGTGCATTTGGCACATCTACATTATCCCAGAGTGTTGTAGCAGGAGAGATCATAGATTCACGGTTTAAAGGTTTTCTATGTAACAAGTGGTGGTATGCAGAGTTGAAATCCCCAGAAGGTTGATCTGCAGGTTGAAGATTAGTGGCCTCAAACTTATCGACTGTATTATAAGGATTAGTAATATCAAAGTTACCAGATGCACTATGAGAGCTAGCAATATCAAAGTTACCTGTCATGCTTTGGGAGATGAATGGATCAAATCTACTAGATGTGACTGCATTGTGTTCAACATTATTGTTAGCATTAGGGTTATTATTTAGAGCAGATGAATCTGTCAGTTCTGAAAGAGTTTCTGTGATAGATTTTTCAGCAGATGCAATGCCTAATGCACCAACTACAGCCTGTGAAGATGACGGAAAAAGTTGGTTGTGATGAGTAACTTCACTATCGGCCACATGATTTTGGCCAAATGATTCTTCTAACGAATGAGTATCTGTGTGATCTTTTATTGCTGGATGTAACGACTCCTGACTTTTGTTATCATCCTTAGTAGCACTTTCACTCACTGAGCACGCTGAAGAATCAATGACATTAGTTAAGCTAGATTGCACAGGTGTAACATATGAAGCTGCAGCATACATGAATGCATTAGCATGAGTTCTAGGTGTAAATTTTCTAAATTGGTTACTTATTGGAATACCAGTTGTAGTACCTAGAGGTGGATTTGTAGCTACATGTATAGGTGGTGGCCCTTGGAATGGATCTGAAGAGGCGTTCATTTGAGAACCAAGTGCAGGTGAAGAACTATTATTATCCTCATTGAAATTATAATTGCTGCTGTAGGAATGCTGAATTTGTAAAGTATCATTTCTATCTACTAAATGGTGCTGCAAACTGAAGTCATCCTGATTCTGTGCAGTTGTAATATTATTATTGTTATCATATCCGTTTTCGTTTGAGCCATCTTCATTCCAGGGTATTTCAGATGACATTTTCTGTTTTAGTGTTTTTTGAGCACTTCAGTTTTTTTAGTAGTGCAGTGCAGAACTGATTGAATTTGAGTAGCTAATTAAAAAACAAAACAATAAGTTAAAACTCAAGATTAAACTTATTGAATGAAAAACGAACCTAACATTAATTAAATGGTAACTTAAAAAAGGTCCGAAGAGTTCAGAAGTCCAAGCAAAAAGCAAATTAGAAGTACATATGATGATTATTATCGATTTCCGGTTTTGCTACGTGTTATGTTTACTAAAAGTAAACTTAACGGAAGGCTCAATGAACAAAATTACAAATTGAGCATCCTAAACTTTGAATCTTGGAATTGGAATATATTTTTATTCTATAAACACAGACTTAGAAAAATTTAATTAATAATTGAGAATAATAGAGAACTGAGTCATCTCATTTAATATGCATGATCGGAGAAGTCAGCGGATACAACTATGAATTATTCACAAATTTTATCAATGTCGTCGCAAAGTTAGCCCTTAGAATATGTCCAAAACATACATACACACAAACCAATACAAGGAAACCTAACAGGAAACCTAACAATTTGCTTAGATAGCAATGAAGTCGACGCAATTGCTTTTCGACTCGGCTAGTGCCAGATAAAATCGAATAAGTTAAATCAAATTACTGTAAAATAAAATCGCGTGATTCAATGTTTCAATTTTCTATCTGTAAGCCCTGTAACAATGCTTTTGACCAACTGACCCACATTTACTTAGTTTCCAATTATGAAACGCAATATTTTGTTCCTTCTTACGCAGCTCTGTTCAGTTATTCATTAAACCATCTTTGCAGACATAAGGTTAAGTGAAAATTTTTGCAACAAGCGCCGACAAACATTTGTGTAACCATATTGGCGTGCAATAAAAACTGGTTATGCTAAATCTGAAATTTTTTTTGAAAAATTTGATAGTTTTATCAACATATCCAATCGAAACGTCGCAAAAAATGAAACTGTAATACAAGGTATGAAATTATGGTATAAAATAAAACAATGGTAAAGTATTTCAGGAAAATAATTACAATTACATAGAAAAAACTATTAAATGATTAATTTATGATATATCAGATTTTTTATACGTCCACACAGTGTCAATGCCATTTCCAATTACGGAATGGTACTTTTTTGAAACGTTGTTGTCGTTGTGAAATGGGAATCTGCAAGCTATAATTAATGAATCTTCTGTCACTTCAGCTTTCAGTTTGTTCCCAAGAGGCTCCATTAAGCTATCAACTCCAAATATCACGATATTGTCATACTTTGATAAACTTTCTTTGAACAAATTGCTCGTTTTGAATTTTGTATTTTTCGATGTTCCAGCTAAATAAGATCGAAACTTCGAATAAGCCACTAGCCAAGGATTGAGTTCAACTCCAACAGCCACAAAACCCTGCCTGGCCGCTTCAATGACAATTCTACCGTCTCCACTACCGAGATCAATCAAATTTCCTTTTCGACCTGACAAAGCTTGAAAAATATTTTTCATCTGAACTTCGGTAGCTGGAACGTACGGCAGGCATATTCTTCGGAAGGCAGGCAGTAAGAATGGAGTGGTTGCTGCACACAACAATCCAAAAGAAATTCCTGTAACACCCAGAAGAGTTTTACCAATTTTCGTCAACTTGGGTCGCTCACCTACCAACGCGCTTTTTGCACCCATAAGTTCCGGAAAATCATGTTCAGAGCCTTTCTGCATTTAAAAACCCTTCTCCTCCTTTTAATGAACCGGGCGATAACGAAATTAAAATCTGTAAACTGCAAAGAAAACTCAACTCTATTAATTATTATCGTAGAATGTTTAACAAGTCCTATTTTTAACAGATGTAATAATGACAGATTGTTTAAACGCTAAACTTAAATTTAATTATTTTATGTAAACAATGTGTCGTCAAATGTCTCGCACTATCTAACATCTTTAGATTTTTCGTTAATATTCAAGGACGTGGATACAACACATCTCTGCAAAATAATGAAAAGTAAACTTTGTTTAAGCAATGGCTTCCAACCTGATACAGCCGGTATTGAAAAAGTTTGAATTCAAAGACCTTCGTAGTTATATAAAGTCATTGCCACAGTCGACTATTGTTCAGCTCTACAACTATCCGGCAGCATGTCTGGCCGTTTTCAGGTTTTCAAATTTTTTGCAGATAAATATAGTTCATTAAATTTAAAAAATTTAGTTTGCTTGGCTAAGAATAAGATACAATACAACAAAATGCATATGCATATGTTATACAATACAACAAAATGCATATGCATATGTTATCTGCTTATAAATTAAGCTATCAGCAATATTAGCCCTGTGTCATAGGACAGAAACTAAATTAATTGGAAATCAAAATCCATACAAATGAGTTAATTTAATTTAATCTCTTCATTTTATTTACACTCATACAATAATACATCAATGAACCATAGTTAGTGGAATGAAACTAGAGATAAATTGTAATGGAGACACAATCGATGGAATTTCATTTCAATTAATATTATTTTTACAAAAATTTTTTTTTCTTTGTCAAGATGGAATTTTTATAATATTAACCAAATCATTATTACAGTTGTTGAGAAAAATAATATTACAACAGTTTATTATCGTAATAATATTATTAGTATGAAAGACAAGAAGTTAATAGAACAACATCACGAGATCATTGGGAAAATATGTCAAGTTATCTCAAATATATAATTAACCAATGGAGTTTTTACATAAATAATCAATAATTTTCAAGCAAATAACAAAATATTGATGATAATTATTTTCATTAATGAAATTAGAGCAGAGTAATTATCATTGTCATTAAATTAATGGCAATGTTGATGAATTAATCGTAAAAACAAAAAAAATAAAATAAAAATTTCCAGAATCAAATTGGAAGTTTTTCTGGCTCATAAAGACGATTTGTAAATTTCTGAGGTGTTAACTCATTTGCGGAAGTTTTTTTGTAGTAAGATACAGGTGTCTCCTCGAAAAATTTGACACCAATGACTTTCACACTCGGGATGTGTCCCATCATGATACATTCTTCATAGTTCTTCCTCTTCACGTGCAGCTTCAATTTTTTTATTGCATAGGCAAACACAAAAACAAATACTGAAAAAGAAAAATTTAGTTCTATTGAAATGAATTTTTTAAACATTTAGTAAATGTGTAATATTTACCAAAATCATACAGAAAACTAACCCAAGAAAAACAGTCCAACTGTCAGTAAAATAGCTAAAGTTGTCATAACACAAATGCCCTGAGTGTCTCGATAGTAGAATGCCGAATTGCAATTATCTCGGACCAATGTTGAATTGTAAGTTGTGTTGCCATCAAAGTAGTAATTGTAGTAATCAATGCTGCCGTTTGTGGTCATCACCGGCATTTCTGCATTTCCATAATCTGCACTGGTTAGTGAAGTTAGAGACGATGTTGCGGTGGGGACTGTCGATGTGTTGGGAAGCAGGGTTTTTGTCGTGGTTGTTGCAAATTCCCTGAACAAATCCCCAACAAATTTTTTCCATCCTACTTTCGAGTTGTTGAAATAATCCGTGTCAACCATTTTGCTGATTTTGAACTATTCAGACAATTGCAACTAGAAGTTAGTTAGGTAGAATATTTTAAAAATTTTTAGACAAAAGAAAATTTTCTGTGAAAAGCAAGTTAGACTATGTAGAAGACCGTGTTTATTTATAGGAGAAGGGAACAAAGAAAATCAGTAAATTAGGAATTTTATGGCTAATTATTTTATTAACCTGTGTTTGATTAGTTACAAAGTCAGGGATTAAAAACTAACGACCAATCAAATCATTACTTTAATCTTCATTTATTCTTACAACCATATTTGTTCTGATTCCATGAATTTTTAAGAATTTAGACGAACTTTGGTTTTAAATTTATGGAAAAATATTAGAAAAAAATTGTAATTTTTATTTATTTATTTGCTTGAAAACTGTTGATCGACTTTGTAAAATCTCTGTCGGTTAATTATATATTTGGGGTCACTTGACATATTTCTCCAATGATCTTATGATGTTGTTTTATTAACTTTTTGCCTCTTGTAATGTTATTGTTCTCAACAGCTTTGATGATGATTTGGTTAATATTATAAAAATTCTATCTTGACTGACAATGTAAGAAGAAATTCTCATAAAAATAATACTAATTAAAATGAAATCAATTATGTAATCATTGCAATTTATCTCTAGTCTCATTCTAACTAGCTATGTTTGATTGATTGGTTGATGTATGGCATGTAAATAAAATGAGGAGACTAACTTTTTTCTATGGATTTTAATTTATAGGTAATTTAGTTTTTCCTGGTATGACACATAATGTCAGAAATAACAAGCGTTTTCTTATTCTATTTAGACCATTTAGATTTCTACTAGTTGATAGTCTGGAGATAGTCCATGACAATGTGGTAAAAAATTGTGAATTAAAATATTGTCAGGGAACTGCCAGAGTTAGCGAAACTTTTTGTAATGAGGCTTTTATTCCTGGAGCAACCAGTCACAAAGTCAGTGGTCTTGTCTTGGATCAATACCAAACATTCTAGGTTTGTCTAGTTCATTATTTGTTTATATTTGGTTGTCTGGTTGTCAAGCTAAACAAAGATTGATTGATTGATTGATTGATTGATTGATTGATTGATTGATTGATTGATTGATTGATTGATTGATTGATTGATTGATTGATTGATTGATTGATTGATTGATTGATTTGATTGTCTGGTTATTTAAAATGTAACAACGTGCTTCATTTAAATTATAGACAATTATTTTTTAATTTTAATACGATTTTCTGGTGGTACTTTTAATTGCCTCCCGAAAATGTTACCCATTTCATGATTAAATATTATTTAGCTGTTTGTTATTGTTAAGTTAATGAATGCAAGCTGGTAAGGGCAGTTGCTGGAGTAACTGGAATCTATTATTTATCGAAAGAACTTGCAACACGTGTGTGTGTGATGCATTGAATTGTACGTGTTTCCATGTGCCGCTTGTCTGCTGTTGATTTTATATCATTAACAAATTCTAACAAGAAAATTGTGAAAAGATTAATTTCTGAAAGGGAATGCAGTCGATGAGTTATTTATTATTCAAATAATGTGAATTTTTATACTTAGGCCGTAGTTTTTTTTTACGTGTACTTGATGAAAATTCTTCGATTCAAATTCACCAAGTTATTTAATTGATTTAATATTTAATTGATTTAGTTTTTGATTTACTAGATAATTTAATTCTAATTTACTATTTAAATCAGTGAGAAGTCGAAAACTCTAGACGTCCTCAAGGAGTTGTACATATTCAGGGAGTCTTCGCAACAGCCTGGCCTACTGGCTGGCTACAAACTGGACGATGCCTTCAAGAAAAATCTCAAAGTTGTCCTCTGCGGAGGGTGAGTACTACAAGTTATCGCTATCCAGTTCCTAACTTCTGATAATATATTATTACTCAGTTATAATTATGTAATTATAGCTATGATTATGTAATTATAGTTATATATTATTATATAAGTTTTTTTATTAAATTCAATAATAATTCAAATCCGCACAATCTGTTTTTTTTCTCATTTTGTGTTTTTGGATTTTAAATAAATTTTGAATTTAATTTGAATTTGAATATATAGATGTGCCAAATTGTCATTAAGACTTGTTGATTAATTGATACTGCATCTGAAGCAGTATTTAAACTTAAAAATAAATAATTATAGGCAAAAATGGCAACACTCTACTACCTCTACCAATACTACTGCAATTTCAACTGCTGCTACTACTGCCACTACTTCTACTTCAACTACCTCTACTTCTGCTTTTACTATTACTGCTACTACTACTACTACTGTTGTTATTATTATTATTGTTATTATTTTTTAAGGGGCGGGTCATGGTTGGGTGTAGGTTTGCAGCCAGATAAGTACCGCAAGGATATTGCATTCCTTGATGCATATGCTAAAGAGAGATGGGAGGTACTTGTCTTTGTATACGTGTGTTTGTATTGTATTTGTATGTGTATGTGTGTGTTTGTATGTGTATTTGTATGTGTGTTTGTATTGTATTTGTATGTGTGTTTGTATTGTATTTGTATGTGTGTTTGTATTGTATTTGTATAAGTTTGTAGGTGTGTTTGTATTGTATTTGTATGTGTGTTTGTATTGTATTTGTATAAGTTTTTATGTGTGTTTGTATTGTATTGTATTTGTATTGTATTTGTGTGTGTGTTTGTATTGTATTTGTATGTGTGTTTGTATTGTATTTGTACTAGTTTGTATTCTTTTTATTATAATGTATTTAAATTTGTGTTTGCTTGTGTTATTCAGGTTTTATATTTTTGTATTTCTACTCATGTTTTGTTGTATTTGTGTTATGATTATTTTAATTGCTGCTATTGGGTTTTATTTTATTTTTATGACATCTGTATGATAATAATGATAGGAATACAAAAAATAATGATATAATAATAACAATATTATTATTATTATTAATAATAATAATTAATAATAATAATATTATTATTAATTTTTAGTACATATTACACTACATGGTTCGTTCACAAGTTGTCAAAAATTCAAACATCAGCCGAGATGTCATCGACGTCTTAACCTACGCCGGACTCATCCTTGAGTATGTTTGTTTGCTTGTGCGTGTGTGTGTGTGTGTGTGTTGTTTGTACGTGTTTGTTTGTGTGCGTGTGTTTGCTTGCTGCGTGTGTGGTGTATGTTTTTACTGTTTTGTGGATGCGTTTCTTCGGATTGGTCCGTGTGTGTGTGTGTGTGTGTGTGTGTGTGTGTGTGTGTGTGTGTGTGTGTGTTCAAGTGTGTGGGGTTTGTGTGTGTGTGTGTGTGTGTGTGTGTGTGTGTGTGTGTGTGTGTGTGTTCATGTGTGTGGGGTGTGTGTGTGTGTTTGTATGTGTGTGTGTGTGTTCCATCAAATGTGTTTATTTATAATTTTTTCTAACAAAAATAAACAGACTAATTGCTAGAAACTAGTAAATATTCATTCAAATGAATTTAGTAAATATTCATAAATGGACTTAATTAATATTCATAAATGGACTTAATTAAAATTTGCAGTGAAGCCTCCTCCTCTTCTTCTTCTTCCTCTTCAGCATCTAGTTCGGATCCCTACATAACGGCCGCCGGCTTCCAATTCCTCCTCATGGACACGCCCACCCAAGTTTGGACCTTCCTCCTGAAATATCTCGAGAGGATTGAGGTCAGTGAGGCTATCTATCCATTTGATTGGCTGATACTATTTCCTTTACTATCAAAGTTTATTTTATATCCTCACCTCACCTATTCATTCATCAGTTATTCATTCAATCATTCTTTATTCTTTCATATAATTATTTATTAATTAATTCACTCATTCATTCGCTCATTCATTCGCTCATTCATTCGCTCATCCATTTGCACATTCATTCATTCATTCACTCATTCATTCATTCATTTGTTCTTTAATCTTTCATATAATTATTTATTCATTCGCTCATGCATCTATTCACTCATCCATTCACACATTCATTCACTCATCCATTCATTTTTTAATCTTTCATAAAACTATTCACTCATTCGCTCATCCATTCACACATTCATTCATTCACACATTAATTAATTAATTAATTAATTCATTCATTCATTCTTTCATTCATCCTCACATTTAACCATTTTCAAATTATCACTCCATGCATTTGTGGTCCCAGTCGAACGAGAGTGATTTGGTAGAGTGCTTGTCTCTCCTACTGACAATCAACTTCCTCACCCTTGGAAAGGTCTCAATTGAATTGGCTTTTTTTTTCCAGTTTTCGCATCTAATTTCACTTTTCATTTATATAACGTTCTAACTATTTGTCAGTTTGTTTTAATGTGTGCGTGTGTGTGTGATTGTGTGCGTGCGTGTGCGCGCTCGCGCGCATGTGTGTGTGTGTTTGTATGTCTGTTATCATCATCATCTAATTTTATTATTTTATTATACAATCTTTGTTGTTACCATCATTTTAAAAATAATTTTTAAAGTCATTAATCATTTCTAATATGATAATTATTGCCCTCAGTATCTCTAATATGATAATTATTGCCCTCAGTATCTCTAATATGATAATTATTGCCCTCAGTATCTCT